CAGTTGTTTGAACAGGCTCTAATGAAGAGTTGGAGTAACATTATGTCTCCGTCTGTATGCAGTACATGCGTGGGTTGGATGTTTGGGCACCTCTACAGACCATCTCTTTGTTTTGGAAGGGTTCTTTCACGTCTTCGGGGGTAAACAGCAGCCAAGAACAATGTAGGAAATAGGCTGTTACTCCATTTCTGCTCTCTCTCCAGGTTTTTTGATTGGACTTTCTTTGTCAGATGGCCACTCTCTGGCTGCCAAAGCACTACCTGAGGCACGCAGAAGTGCTGAGAATCTGAGGGAAGGAGACTTGGCCATGAGGGAATCCACAGTGGGAACTGAGTGACAGTCGACAGGCCAGCCAAGTTGTCTGTCATCTCCCTGCTTTTTTCCCCTCTTTTCTCTTTGTTACACATCAACAGCTGACATGCAGTGAAGCAGAGCTCTGCTCAGGGGGTCTCTGTGAAGAGCAAGATGTTAAAGTGAGAGTTAAACATGAGAGCAGAAACAATATTCTCTGAGTTTTGAGTTCTGGTTGGATGCAGTATTCTTGTGTAAGCCAGTAGAGAGGAGGCCCAGTCTGTAAGTTCTCATCTTCTGACATTACTTCATAATGACAGAACCACTTTAATTTGAATTGGACTTGTGCATTAATGACTAGAAGTTCAAACTTGAGAAAAACCCTTGAATCTATTGAATTTCAAAGGATCTCCTGTAAACCTAAACTTTACACTAAACACTCAGGACTTAACTTAAACATTTTTTCATCGACTTGTGCTCAGGCTCCAACACTGAGCACTGTAATAAAACACTTGTTGTGAGTAGGTCCTGCTCTAAATGGAGACATTTGAGGACCAATCTATTGCTCTTGCCCAACAGTTCAATACCCTGTGGCAGCCAATTGTCTTACTGTGTGGATTTGGCATGGTCTTACCATGTGTGTGTGTTGGTTTCCTACAGGACTTAAATGCAACTGTTCAACACCTGCTCCTGGTCCATTCCCTCATCACTTCCTTTCTTTTCGTTCTTTTCCTCCACAATCAAACTATTTACTTCCTGTTTTATTTTATGTATGAATCTATCAGCAGATTGTTTTTTCCTGATAAAGTCTTACCATTTCTTGTTTGGTAAATTAAGTTTGCTTGGATTATTTCCACTCTGTTTTTAAATGTGCATCCTTTTTCTCCTAAACCTTCCCTTCAGATGTTCAGCTTGAACCTTTCTGCCACACAAATGTCCAGCAGCAGATTTACTTTAACAGTAAAACATAACAACACAACCGAGTCCTATTCCGCTGCTGATTCTTTTTCCGTGGCTGCTGGATTATTTTAAACAAATGGAAAATCTGATGACAGTATCTTAAGTTCATTATAGATCATAGACAGAAAATAGGAAATCCTGGATTTGTGCGGGCTGTTGCAAATCTTACAGCAGAGAGCGGGACGCCAGAGGTATTCAGTGCTGAAAAGATTTAGGCAAACCTATGAATATTCAGTCAGCGGTGCGTTGGTTTTAGACATAATAATCTGGATTTGTGTGTAATTAGATACTTCCCTGCAGAAAGATGGGGGAAAATTATAGCTCTGGTTTATCAGACAAGCTGACTGGTCATTGGCAGCAGTGCAAGGACTGTTGTGCCCGCTGTGGAGGCTACTTGACTGGTGGTTTGTGGCACGATGCCCGCAGACAGCATGCAGTGGATAAGACGTGCATGATGGAACGTGATGACTGCAGCTGAAACAGATCTGCTCTGACACACAGACAGGTTACTGTACCCTCCGCAAGTCTGACATTCCCGGGACACTGCGGCCCAGCCATACATACACACTCACACACAGACACGCACACATCCACGCAGTGTGCCAAATTCCACAGGGCTGTAAAGGCAATCAGGGACCAAGTGGTGGTAAACTACACGCTGAGGGAGTGGAAGCTACAACAAGGTGTCACAACAACAGTCACAGCAGTTTGTTTGTGTCCTAGCTTCATCCAGCGGATGGCTTTATTTTCACTTTCTCGCACAAATTTCCTAATTATAAACTGAGCGGGGTTGTTTCTAGACTGTTGCTGTGAGGTCTCAGTGGAATCTTGGGGAATAACCTGATCCTCAGTGTTGTCAGGTTGGTCTGTGATATTTTTGAGAAGCTGGCTGTTTTTGTCTGTTTCCTGGTCTCTGCAGTTATTTAAGGTAACTGTTCACACCTGGTGGAAGCTTCATATTTAATTGGCATCATTAACGGCTATTGAATTTTCTTGTCTAGCTCTTGCCAAGATAAGTGCGTTTCAACATCATGGCAAACTATGAAAATGTTAATTTTGGGTTGTTGTTGCTTTGGGAGCAGAAAGTGTTGCAGCAGCTGACTCCCACATCCAAAAAACAAGCGTGCTTGTGTTCCCGGCAGGACATTTTCTTTAGCTCGTATCTGACAAATTCCTGCTCTCTCTCTCTCTCTCTCTCTCTCTCTCTCTCTCTGAACATGTGACAAACAGAGCTTTGACTCTTGGCCCAAATATTGCCGATCAAACGCCCAGGTTTGGTGTCAGCTTAAGCGGGACAACCAGGTTACTCATAAGGAGTGCACTGGCCTGTTTCATGTATGTTTGGCTAGCAAACCAAACGCATACATTTGTACTTGCATACATGTGAGTGTGGAAAGATGTTTGCCTGCAGCAAAGGCCCGGATGTGTTAAGGAGTGTCATGAGTGTCGCACTTTAAACCCATTGTTAAAGTCAGGCTGAAGATCTCAGCTGAAAGACTGTCATTAGCTGCTGGCTCAACCTTTTATTTGTCCTCCAGCACAGAAAAGTCCCTGTAAGATCAGTGGAGCAAACTGATAGATGTCATTAAAGCTCACACAGAGTCAGCTGAAATATACGTCAGCCTGGGGCTGTGATTTCACAACTGCTGATGGGAGCGAGGAGCGCGG